TCATTCTGCACCAGGGATCACAGTACATGTTTATCGGTAGGAACCCTGGAGGGAAGGATGGGTTTGCAGACAGAACGGCAGCAAATGGTACCTTGTGGATGGATCATAGTGTCCTCAACTGTTGGTTCCTGTATATACTACACAAAGCAATCTAAAAATTCAATGCAATCCCTGTAAAAGTCCCAATGACTTTTTCCCCCCAGAAATAGTCATCCTAAAATTTGTACAGAATCTTAAGGGACCCCGAATAGCCAAAACAATTTTGAAATAGAACAAAGTTGGAGGATTCACACTTCCTGATTTCAAATCTACAGTAATCAAAACAGTGAGTTTCTGGCATAAAGACAGACACACAGACCAAGGGAACAAAATAGAGAGCCTAGAAATAAGCCCTCACATGTATGTTCAAACTATTTTCAATGGGGTGCCAAGTTCACCTAATGGAGAAAAGCGTTTTTACAGCAAATTATGTAGGAAAAACTGGATGTCCACATGCAAAGGAATGAAATTGGACACTTACCTTATACCATATACAAAAATTGACTCACAATGGGTACAACAGCTAAACTATAAAACTTAGAAGAAAACATAAGGGGAAAGCATCATGACATTGGATTTGGCAATGGTTTCTTGGATATGACACCAAAAGCATAGGCAATGAAAAAATAGACAAATTGAACTTCATCAAAATTAAAAACTTTTGTGCTTCAAAGGATATGATCAACAGAATAAAAAAGCAACACATAGAATGGGAGAAAATATTTGCAAATCATAGATCTGATAAAGGATTAATATCTAGAATATATAGACAATTCCTAAAACTCAACAGCAACAAAAAAATCCCCATTTCAAAAATGAGCAAAGGACTTGAATATACATTTCCCAAAGTGGACATACAAATGGCTAATAAACACATAAAAAGATGCTCAACATCACTAATTATTAGAGAAATGCAAATCAAACCTACAATGAGACACTATTTCACACCCATTAGGATGCCTACCATCAAAAACCAAACCAAACCAAAAAACCCCCAGAAAATAGCAAGATGTGGAAAAACTGGATCCCTTGTGCACTGCTTGTGGGAATAATGTTGCAACCACTATGGAAAACAGTGTGGAGAGTCCTCAAAATATTACAAGAAGAATTACTATATGACCCAGCAATCTCACTTCTGGTTATACACCCAGAATTGAAAGCATGGATATTTGTATATCCATGTTCATAGCAGCATTATTCACAGTAGCTAAGTGTCCAAATCAAATGTCCATTGATGGATGCATGGAAAACAAAATGTTGTATATACAGAGAGTGGAATATTACTAAGCCTTAAAAAGGAAGGAAATTCTGACACATATTATAATACAGATAAACTTTGAGGACATAATGCTAAGTGAAATACTCCAGACACAAAAGGACAAATTTCATATGATTCCATTCATGTGAGGTACCTAGAGTAGTCAAATTCATAGAGACATAAAGCAGAGTGATGGTTGCCAGGGGCTGGGGGGGGGGTAGGGAATGGAGAGCTGCTGTTTATTATTTTTATTTATTTATTTTTAAAAAAGATTTTATTGGGGAATTGGAGGGGAACAGCGTTGGGGAATCGGGGAAGGCGAACAGACAGGTAGACAAATTGCTGTTTTGTTCTTCAGTCTAGTTGTGGAGGACCTCACTTCACTGGCCCATGTTGGTATGATCATTGCGCCCTTCCTGGGTGAGGCAATCGGTCGCCAGTCATTGGTTGGCTGCTCATGGCGGCTCACGGCAGCTCTCGCTGGCTGCCAGCCACTCGCGTAGCTCACAGCAGCCCACTGCAGCCCCGCTGCAGCCTACGCCGTCGCCGAGACTCACAGCAGCCCAGCTCCAGGTCAAGCTGTTGTTCATCATCTTAGCTGTAGAGGGCAGCATCACTTGCCCTTAATGTGGGATCTGAACCGTGGCCCTGCTGCTCAGAGCTGGTGCTCCCAAGTGAGTTCTTAACCAACTGAGCCACTCGGCTGGCCCAGAGAGCTGCTGTTTAATAGGTAGAGAGTTTCACTTTTGTAAGATGAGCAAGTTCTGCGGATGGATGGTGGTGATGATAGCACAACAATGTGAATATATTTAAAGCCACTGAACAGTGCACTAAAATGGCTAAAATGGTAAATTTTATGACATGCATTTTTTTAAAATATATTTTTTTAAAAGGCAAGAATGTAGCCAAGGGGAAAGAAAAAGAGGCGGCCCCTGCCAACATGGATGAAAACAGACTTGGGAACCATTACTTTAAGCACTTTGGATTCTCTTGTTACAAAGAATGGTTTCCCGTCACCCTTGATTGATCTGTTGTTGTTCCTCAGCATTTTCATCCATCAACTTTGCTCGGGCACGCCTCCGTTTCTATTCACATCACTTTCTTTTACCTTGACCTCGACATGGTGATGGTTCCCAAACAGCCTCTCTTAGAGACTCTCCTTGTCGCCTTGTACCCGCATGGCAGCGTCAGCTTCTTGTCTTCACATCTCATTTTGGTGTGTAGGCTTTCTATGAATTAACATCTCATGCCTGCCCTCTCTACCAAGCTGCATCCTGAACTGTAGCTGTCTGCTAGACATCCCTCTTGCATCTCAAACTCAGTTTGGCTCAAACTGGACTCATCGTTTTTTCCCTTGTTCTGCTGAGCTCCTGGTTTCTACAGAAGGCGCCGTCATTTTTCTGGCGTCTCAAGTGTAAAAACGTCCAATGCTTTTGAATCTGCATTCCCTCTCCCTGTCTTCCAGGTCTGCTCAGCTCTCAGTCCTGTTGCCTTTTCTGTCTGTGATCGCCACATCCTGTAGAGGTGTTCTTGTTTCCTGGTGCACTGCCCATGTCTAGCTCAGCCCTTCGTGCCCTCTTGAGTCTCCAGTCTGTCCTTGTGGGCTTGCATAGTCATGCAGGGAGTGCAGTTGTGAACCAGCCAGGGAGGGGCCAGCCCGGCTCCCTGTACTGGGGAATCAGACATCTGGACAGAGCTCACCTCAAAGAGGAGCAGGACACAGCACAAATATGCAATCCCCAGTGGCTTGTGGCTGAGCAATAGCACAAGGAGATGAGGCTGGCTAAGTGTGGCATTTAGACTGATGCTCCGAGTCAGGCATGTGCTTGCAGTTCCAGGTGATCAGCCCATTTGGGAGCAGAAGCCAAGCCAGCAATGGAGGGAGGACAGGAAGCAGGTCCATTTCCCAGTGGAGGCAGCTGATAAGAACTAGGCAGGGTCCAGGTCTCTGGCCTGGAGGTGTGTGAGGTTCCGGGTCGGGGAAAGGAGGACTCCTCAGGCAAGTCCAGCATTCTGCCTGGACCGACCCATGCAAGCATTATGCTCGGGGGTTCACTGTTTCCCCTGGATTTAGGATGCGTGGCAGCCCTGGGAATTCCAGCTCTGGGCCTTGGCCTGTGTGGACCCCTCAGCCTGGTGTGTGCCCACTCCTCACAAAGGTTTAGATCCAAGGCCCCTTCTTTCTCGGGGCTGTCCCTCACTCTGCCCAGCTTTGTGATACTCTTTCTTGGACCTGAAGAGCCTTTCATTTCACCTCCCTTACTGCATGTACCACTTTCTACCTTGGGCTATAATTACTTATGTTGCCAACTTCTGAGATTCAAAGCTTTTTATGGGCAAGAGTCAAGCCTGAGGCTCACACGGTTGTGTGCCCCATTGGGTAGCCCTTGATTTCATCCGACAATGAATACACGGCCGTTTCCCTTTACTAGTTCCTCTGAATTGGCTATTCAGTAGCTGTCAGCCTCCACGGGTCTGCGAAGCTCACTGTGGTTTTCCAAAATACTGCTAGCCAAATTTCCAGTTCTTCTTCCCCTGGGCGCTTGAACCCCTTATGCTTGGAGAGGCCACAGGAGTAGCTCTGAGCAGTGAACTGCGAAGGAAAGCGACATGTGTCCCTTTGGCCCAGAGCCCTGAGGCCAGGATGAGACCCTTGTGAGCTCTTTTCCCCTGGGCATGGCAGTTAGCAACGTCTGAGAGGTTGGCCGGTCTGTCATCCCGAGTCCCCTGAATGAATCCATGAGCGGACACACCTTGCTGACCTGTGATGGACTCCTAGCATGAATGACAAACAAGCCTTTGTTGTTTTTAGCCACTGAAATCTGAAAGCGGTTATTGCTGCCTGACCCAGTCCAGCCAGACAGACACATTTATCCCGTTTGGTCGATCAGCTCTGGATACAACTAGTACATCGCCAAGGTTGCCGAAACCTGCCAGCTGATGGGTGACCAGATGGGAAGGCAGAAGCAAGGGGAAGCCATGTCTTTTGGCGGCAGAGTGCTTCTGTCAGCAGTTCAGTCCCCCTTGGTGGCATCTTACTGTGGAGTGCCAGTAACAGATGCAGACAAGCAAGAACAAAGGGTACCCTCCCCTCTCCTCTCTGTGGGCTGCCTTCTAAATTAATTAAAAGCTGGGGATGAGCAGAGAGGATATTCTATTAAGTGAGAATGTTCTTTTTAAATTTTCCAGCCTGCAATAGGATTTTCTTATCAAGTGTTTTTATGAGAATTCGCAGGATTCCTCTCCTGGTGGGTAAAGGCATCGCGCTTTCCAGATACAAGTGTGTGACCCACTTGCCTACAGGAGCTTTGGCATCTGGAGGGGCTGCTTGTTGAGCCGAACAGCTGAGGAAACAGCGGAACCCCGTGCACCAAATGCTCTGTGAGCCACCAGCCTGACAAAACACAAGTGGCTGCCAGATGTACAGAGTATGCAGGTATTCCTTGGGCAGGATGAAAAATAGGCGGGACCTACTGTTGTACCCTCTGATTGAAGGGAAGGGGTTATCTATGTGAAACAAAGATTAAGGATAAAAGCTTTGCAGCCTCCTGTGTGTGTGCTGACTGATAAACCTCAAGAACATACAATGACAAGAGAAATGGGTCAGGACAGATTTAATTGAATAAAAACTCCAGGCTGTGACAGGGGCGGGAAGATGTGAGGCAGTAATTAACAACATAATTTTTTAAATGATGCAATTAATTAACATTCTGAGTATGGGGGTGGGGGTGGGGAGTGGGGGGGGCATCTTTCAGCCCAGAAACACTACTAAATAAATAAAGGAGAAGGGAACTCGGCATTTAAAAAAAAAAATCGATGTGCAAAAGGCACTGATTATTGCGACTTCAGCAAAGCTCGCAAGAGCTACCCAAGAGTTTTCTTGTGGCAGAGGAAGCTAACCCATGAATCAAACATGTGTTTCATTTTATTCAGAAACTTGTAATTCATTTTATTTTCATCTGTGGGGGAGAGAGATTGGGCTTGATAATGAAGTTGGCAGACATTCAGGTTTCATTCCCACTTCAGGCTGAGGACCAGTCTCCCCTGAGGACCCTGAAAGTCTCCCTGGGGTGGGCTCCCAGCCCGTGGAAATTTACCAGCTTACCACTATTGCAAGGGTGGTGGCAGTCAGGTAGGGTGGTGTGGGGCTGACCATAATTGGCTCAAGAAATGAATTTCTGAAACCACTGGAAAGCTCACTTGGGTGAGAGATGGGCTTGGATAGAAGAGGAATGTCTGAAAGCAGAAATTAGTCCATGATTCATTCACTTGATCACATGCCCTTCTCCAAAAAGCGAGAGTGGTCATCCTCACCTGCCTGAGGGTTTGAAGATGATAGCTGGACGTGAATTTTGAGCTCACTTGTGGAAGGACCTCTTCACACTAATTTTTGGGCTCCTTATAACCCAGGAAACTCCACTGTCCCCTTCATAGATGCAGGACCCACAGCACCTGCTCAGTGATTGAGACGGCCATCTTGGTGGGGTCAGTCAAGAAAAATGAAGTTTATGGCCTGCTGGGAGTCTTGCCATAACCTTGTTTTTTTTCTCTTGCTCTCAAGAGACTATCTAGCTGCAGGACTGCCTAAGAAAGCTATTGACTACAAGACATTTGGGGAGAAAACATCTTTATGCCCATGGCACAACTGCCCCTAGCCTAAGGCTCAGTACAGGGTGAAGTTTGGGTTTACCTACATTTACTTTTCTAAGCCGAAAACTTCTTTTGCCACAATATCCTGTCACCTCATGCCCAACCTAGTCATCTTTAGGTCTAGAAGATACTATTCAAAGTTATATGAGAAACCTGATAACTTGGCTTAAAATGAAGGTTACTTTATTGAGTTGCAGTTCCTAAAGCATGTGACATATAGAAAGAATAAGATACAGGGTGTATGTATGAATAGTTTTTACATTCTTGACCATCCACTGTCTAGAGAAAGGGTTCTTGGGCAGACTTGCCTCTCGTAAGTCACACACACAGCTCTGGAAATTAGCATTGTCTAGTCACAAAGGGAAGTGGAGACTCACTTCCACACATTTACCAGGGCTATACAGACTGATGCGCAAATCAACCTAGTTATAGGGGGTTGGTGGGAAGGCCACTATTAACTCAACAAAAATGCACTATTACAATACAGAATAGTTTAAACATTTTTTTTTACTAAACTGAATTTGGCCTAAGGTAGAAATCTAAAGGAAAACAAAACAAAACAAAACCCTTCATTACCACTGAAACAAAGAAACACTGGAGTACTTAGGAATTTATAGAACTAAAGTGTAAGATGAATATTGTCCCAGCATCAAGAGGGGCTGATGTAGGCTTAAGCTGACTGGGTTTCATAGAAACATGAACTCCAACGATTACTTGGATTTCAAAACTGCCTATTCAGAAAACATTTTTTTATCTGGGTTTTTCTTTGATCTGTGTAGGCATTTTAAACAGCTACTTGATACTTGCTGGGGATTGGAAAGCCATGGATAATGCAGACATCATTCTGGGACACAGGTAACTCCTTTTCTTTACAACAAAGGGTATTTTTGAGATCAAAGGTCCTGTTTTCCAAACAAATACAGCCATGAACTGTGAGGCGCAAGGAAACATGTGGCATGTTTGGTTTCAGCACACTCTTTCCCAAAGGAAGTGACTGAGTTCTCCTGGGGAATCAGGACATTTTCAAATCATGAAGGAAGTCACTGGGGAAGGGGAGTGAGGAACCCTGCACGACCCGCTGAAGTAGGTTCACAGACACCACAGGGCATTTGTGGTTTCAACGTGGGACCTGGAGCCCGTTTCTCAGCTTACGTCACATCAGCGAAGAGCTTCCAAGACTCATACTCAGCCTTGGAAAGGCCCTTGGACTAGTCTGCATCATTCCTGCAGACCACGAGAAAGCAGCCATAGCTCCAGCCGACTTCCATCTTCTCCAGCGTAGTGGAGCTCGGTGGAGACACAAAATTCCAGAACTTCAAACCGTGTCCCCCCAAAAGACAACTATGTCCCATTGTATTTTGTTGAACCAACTTCTGGGCTGTCTACTTTTCATTTTTTTCCTACTTTTTTTTTCTTCTTCTTTTTTGACAGCCGATCTATAAAATGTTGAAAGCCACAAAAAAAAAAATCACCTTGGGAGACAGAAAAGACGAAGACAGATCTGACCACACGACAAGTGTCTCGGCCGTGACCTACACAGGAGCAGTTAAGACCGCAGTGAGCCACATGCCACCTGGCCGCTGCTATTGCACAACACTGTTGAGACGGTTGAACAAGTGCAAAAAGAACGGTGCTGAGCCCCATGTGTATCGCTCGGGTGTGCCGCTCACGGTGTCGGAGGTGGCTTCGGAGAGGGACTTGAGCTCTCGCTGTCGAAACTGGCAGCTCGGCCGTGCCACTGTGGGGAGGAGAAGAAGCTGCTTATTGATTGCCAGGGGAAATTGATAGTCCAACTTCCAAACTTATCTGGCCCATGCACTGAATGTACCTTTCCCGGCTTCTCGTAAGCTTTCTTGAACTTTGCTGTCAGCCATGCAAAAACATAAATAAAACAGCTTTAGGGCTTCTAGTTGGGAATACCTGATTTTTAAAAAAGACCTGCTGCAGAGATAATTAAAGCTTTCTTTACTGTATATGTGTGTGTGTTGTCATGAGCGGTGACTGGAACATTTCTGAGTGCTTCCGCCATTTTTCACACTGAAAACCGTATTATGTTAGAAGCAAAAGAGGCAGTGTGCAGAGCATACACACTCATTGCCAAGAACCATGATCATGAATTATTAGTTTGTCTGGGAGCTGTTAGTACAGCTACAAATCTGATATTGCTTTAGCTCTGGGCTCTCTTCTTCAGTCCTAATGCTTCCTAGAAGCATTCACACTGCACTTGGGAAGAGGTAGGGGGTGCCAGGTGAGGCAGCCCCTCCCTCTTTCAGGTGGCTCCACCTTTGTTCTCCTTGGCTCTCTTGTTGCCTCCTCTCAGCCCCGGCCCTAACCCCTCTGTGAAAGTGGGCAGTGTAATGAGGCATAATGGAGTGAAAGAGAGGGCCAAGGATGGGTGGACACACGCTTGAGCTGTTCAATCCTCCTTTAAACTGAAAAGCCAGTCAGTTATAGCTGAAGCAGTGTTTCTGGGCAAGGAGCTCACCCTATGGGTGTTCTTGACCCATCTGGGGGCTCTATGACTTCAAAGTGAGTCAGGGTCCACTGCTCCATTCTTTTTGTGAGCTGAGGAGACCCAGTACTCTCCTAGGTGCCCGTGGAACAAGGCGAGGGGGGGGCAGAAAGAGAGAGAGAGATTAGGGAGAGGTCAAGATGGTCTTTCTGAACCTGAAGTGCAGCCCCTTCTACTTCTTGTGAGCCTCGGGGGTCTCCACGGGGCGAGGAGGCAGGGAGGAGTGGAGGGCTGAGTACAAGCTGCACCACGCATTTGTGCATGTGTGGGGATGGGATGTGGAGGGACACAGCTCTCCCCTCAACACAGCCATTTCTAGACAAAGCTGAGCCACCTCAGGAATAGACCGTTTGCCATCCAGCATCTCCCGTGGAGGAGATGGGAAACTCACAATGCTGAGGAGACACCCAGACCTACTGAATGCCTTCGGGCTCCTAGTTCTAAGGAAAGCCTCTGTTATCCTTCCTCAGGCTCAGTTCTTCAAGGTCTCTCAGTGCTCCCTGTCCAGGCCAACCTGCAGATCTTTACAACTAACCAAAGGCCGGACAACCAGGTATGGACAACCACCATTATGTGACCTAGACCTGAGCAAGCTTAGCATGCCAGACCCGGAGGCTGGCCTGAGAGGTCATCCAGTTAAAACCTCTTGTTCTTGCAGATAAGAAAACAAAGACACAGAGACATCAAAACACAGCTAGCGAGGGGCAGAGCCAGGATCCGAAACCAGGTCTCCTAACTCCCAACTCAGGGCTCCTTCCATGCCACCCTGCTGCCATCTTGGCATCTGACCACACCACGGGAAGAAGGGGACACAAAATGCAATAGAAACCTAACCTCTTTGGGTCCACACCAGGTACTTACTCCTAACTCCGGTTGGCAGTCTCTGCTTGCAGCATCCACGTGAATGCAATCACAACCGAGGGTTGCCCTGGTGAGATAGTGTAGATAAATAAATGCCTTGCTGTGGAGCCCACTGTGACTTCTGACTCAACGGTCTCTTAACCAGAAGGTGACATAAGACCATTACTAATGCCTTCACTTAACAGACCTTCATTTTAGACGTTCTACTTTCCCTGCTACAACCTTTAACACTGGTAAAAGGTACACTGTAATTACTGCCTCCTCCCCGGGGTTAGCATGCCACTTAAACAACCTGAGGGATAGGTCTGCTCAGAGGGGAAAAAATGAAATGGCTGCACAGAGTACCCGTTTTTCTTTATGTAGAAAGAGACGGCACGAGGAGCGTAATTGTTTATCCAGGACAAATGAAGAAGGCCCACGAGCTCCCCTGCTAACCCCTAAGCTTTCCTATGAAGATAAACACAGGGAGGAGATGGGGCTTGTGGACAATAGGAAGGTGAGTGATGCTGGGAGGCTTATCACTGTGGCTGTGAAATAGAAGAGAACTGGTCCCCGGCACACAGGAAGATGGGATGGTTGTTCCAGGGTGCCTGCGTTCCAGTAAGATCTTTTATTGTTCTGAAATGGGTCACGTTCCAACAGAGATCTAAAATCTCTGGCAGATGATCTGAACTTGGCCCTTCAGAGTAAAACGCCTTGGAGCACGTCGCTGGCCGATGCGGGCTGTGTGTGTGGTGACAGCAATGACAAGCCACACTGGGCAGAGAGGGAAGGGGGCACAGCCGCTGCTGGGGGAAGGAGGGAAGGATGCTCCTTGTGGCTTAATCAATTTGTATTCATGGAAATCTCCCAGCAGGGAAAAACATCTTTCAGTTAATTTGTTCCCCTCAACCTTATTTAAAAACCCCAAACAAGCAGGCAAGTAGGGTGCTCTCTGTTCTCGTTAATAAAAAAGAAATGATTTCAGCACTTGAAACTCTTGTAAAAAAGGTGCAATATAAACACAGAGTGCTTTACAAATGCGATGGCATTTATCTTCCCAGGGGCTGGAGAGTAAGACTTCTTCATGTATTATACAAATAGGGGAGACAAGTTCCAGCAATGAGATGCTTGCTCGATGTACAGAGCAGAACTGAAAAGAAGGCAGGATGTGAGCTCTAAGGATAATTGAGATGACTGTTTCCAGTACGATGCATCCCATGAATACAAAGAATGTTTACTTAATATCAGCCTGGTGGGTTGTTGGATGCATTTTTATAAAGATACTTCAACTATGGGTGCTAAAGGCGTAGATAGGACTTTTACACACATTTGTACCGGTGAAATCCTAAATTGCCAACACGCATGCCATTTTCAATTTCTTCATACAAAGATGATGAGCTGAGCAGGAAATTGTAGGATCGTGAGTGGGGGAGGGGGCAGTCTGGGGAGCCTGGTGTTCGAAGTCAAGAAAACAGCAAAACCCCAAAGGATAGAAATCAATTTATTCTCCTTTTCGTTTTCTATATACTGTTACTTTCCTTTACTGTTTCATCAAATATTCATTTTTAAGGGCTTGATGCTACTTTATATTTCTTTTGCAGTCTGGACTACTAGTGAGCCAGACTCACTAAAGCAACAGGGTTTGGAATCAATTATTTGGCTTAATTAGGTTGTATTCATCATGAAGGAGAGTGATTCAGGGGCTGAGTCCTACCATCCCCCTGCTACCTTCACCCACCCCCAACCCCAGCCACTGCTGGTCGGTTACTTCCAGTTTGTGTGGACAGCCCAGTGATGGGTTCTCACAGATCCAAGATTACAAAGGGGATGCAAGATGCCGGCTCTCTGGCCCAGTCATCATTTAGGGTCAGAGCTGTCTAAGAAAGCAGACGTCGGAGGAGCCTAACTCCTCATTTTACCAACCAGGAAACAGAAGACCAGAGTGGGACAGTGAGTTGTCTGAGGCCCCACAGCCCATCAGAGGCCTCTCAGCTCCCATTCCATGGCCGTGTTTCTAAACCATCCTGCACATTATAGTATATTCTTTTTTTTTTAAGATTTTTTTAAATTGGGGAATTGGGGAAGAGGAACAGTGTTGGGGAATTGGGGAAGGGGACCAGCCAAGTTGTTGTTCTTCAATCTTTGTTGTGGTGGGCGCCAGTCGCCATCTGGCTTTCCATCAGCAGTTCGTGGCTTCTAAGCTTAAGGTGCTGTGCTCAATCTTAGTTGCAGGTGGGCATAGCCACCATTCCATGTGGGAGTCGAACCAGCAGCCTTATTGTTAAGAGCGCACGCTCTATCCACTGAGTCATCTGGGCGGCAGCTCAGCTCAACTAACTTCAGTCTTAGTTGCAGGTGGGCACAGCCCACCATAAAACAGGCAATCTTGTTGTTACACCAGCTGAGCCATCCAGTCACCTGTTGGCAGTTCAGCGACAGCTCAGCTCAGGTGCAGCATCACTGGCCCATGTGGGAATTGAACTGGCGGCCCTGTTGCTCAGAGCTTGTGCTCTTAAGCCAACTCTTAACCAACTGGGCCACTCGGCTGGCCCCAGTATATTCTATTCTTAAATATCTCCAAAGGATATTAAAAAGGGAAGAGGCATGGCACCCGTGAGATACATTCAGTGAGGTGCCAGAAACTGTCTCCAGATTGTCTATAGAGTTCTGCTCAGTAGCTGCTGCTTGTGGAGGTGGAGGCCGGTTGTGGGACTTCATCCACACTGTTGTAGAGAGAGCCTTCTGGAAAAGAGGGGGCCAAGGCTCCCCTGTGGGCTATGAGCCAGACAGTTGAGGGACTGGCCTCACTCCTGAGAGCTCCACAGCTGTGGTAAGACCACAAGGCCACCACAAAGTAGAAACGTGAGGCCTCCGATGGACAGGAACTGTGCATCTATGCCTCACTCCTCCTGCTGGCCTAAAAAACGTCAGGGCAGGAGCTGTGCGAAGCCACACGCCTACCTGCGGAGGTAAATCAATTCGCCTGGGTCCCCGGAGGCCTCTCTCTCACACAGGATTCCACGTGTCCAATCCCCTCAGCTCTCAGTCTCTCTTGAGACACCTCACACTGCTAGAAACAGGACACAGGCTTGTCCACCCTGAGAAGGAGAGGATGCCAGCAGGTCCTCTGGGTTTGCTATCCACAACTTTTCTGTGTCACAGAGTATGGGGATGGGATTACTTTGTTTTTAAGGCGACTCTGCTTTAAAGCTGAGGGGCCACGTGGTGGCAGGGATCAAGCTTTGTTTTTAGTAGGAGGTTTTCCAATTCTATATGGCTGTCTAGGCTTACTGGGCTTGAAGCCTGTTAAGAGGAGTGAATGATCACCCGCCTTTCTAGGATATGGACTGGAGGATGAGATATTCAAAATGAGGCTTAAAGCACACCTGGCCATGCCCACATCCCAACACATTTGAGAAAAAGCAGGCTTGGGGACCAGCAAGGTGATAAATCACGGGAGTCTGGTGGAGGTGGCACAGACTGTAAATGTCACTGGAAGGGATGTTTTCCTTGCAGTTGACAGAGAAATGACTGGCTCAAGGTTATACAGCAAGTCAGGAGGGGCCATGTTTGGAGCACGCGTCTCAGGGGCGTCTCGGGGTCCCCTCGGGCAGGGCGCTGTCCATTACGTCTCTGTTAGAACCCGGCCAAAAAGTGTGACACCCTGAAGCTCAACTCTCTTTTCCAGCAGTGGTGAGAATCAGCATTCAGGAAAGTGGGTTCTGCTCTCTGGCGAGCTCCCTGCATGCAGTGAAAACTGCCCTGACTGTCTGGAGCCTCAGGGAACTCACTGCTCCAACAGGGGTAGAATTTCTTGCCAAGTTCTGATCTCACCCCCTTTGGGGCTTTCTCCCCCAGGACTGCCTTGGCACAGGGGCTTGGTGAAAGCATTACGGACCTGGCCCGGGGGGGCTGCTGGGAAGGCCTCCTCCACGTGTCTGTTTTCCATTTAGAACTCAGTGTTCCTTTGGGTATGCTCAATGTCAGGGGCTTTTTGTCAGGCAATTTCCCATCATCTTCCTCCTTTTCCTCCCTGCCTGTTACACTGGGGGAGAAGCACGTGGCCCCCGCACCCCCCGGGAAAGGACCCATGAAGCCAAGGCCTCGCAGCAGCCGACTGCCATGCAGCAAACATGCCAAGGCCAAGTGCAACTTCACCCACCTCTTTGAAGGATTTCTTTACCTCCACCAAGGAGTGCCAGTGGGCGATGGGCTTCCGCGGGTAGGCCAGCATCTCATTCCAGTGGTCTCTGCCCAGGCCATCGGCGCTGATCCCCACACTGCAGACTCCTATGATCTCATTGTGACCCACCCTGAGGGACAGACCAAGGGCCAGCATTGGGGGCCAGAAATGCTCTCAGAAAGGGAGCTCTTGGGGTCTGGGACTCTGCCCAGTGGGTCTAACTCAGGACACTGAGCACTGAATATAGATGCTTGGCAGGGCCACAGGGTGCCAGCCGGACTCTGTGGGTAGACACTGGACACAGACAGATGAGCAAAAGGTTAGAAACTCACTTGGAGTCTCAGGAAATGGTGGGCAGATGGCCTGACTTTGGGGAGTTGGAGAGTTTAAGTCTCTTCCCTTCCTTGACTTGGCTCACACATCCCACCCACGCTTGAGACATCAGCTTTGGGAAATAAATCAGCCTCCCTTGAGCACTGTTTCTCCACACCCCCAGCGGCTGGGATGTAATTGACTCACTCAGCAAGAACATCCATCATCACTCAAATGCATTCACCGAGCACCTACTATGCCCGAGAACTTGTCCTAAAAATCCTGGTTTGAGACTTTGCTGCACGGTTGCTTTCCCCTTCATCTAAAGTGACAAGTGGAGAGAGGAGTCACAGTGGCTAGAGCAGTCAGGACATATTTTTGAGCTAGTCTTGATGGAAGAGAAGGGTTTGAATGAGCGGGAGAGAAAAAAATCTATCCAAAAGAAAATAAATCAAGGATGGACAGGCTGGGTCCAGATTATGGAAGGCCTGGAGGGTCCAGGGAAAAAGGCCTGGACAATGGGAGCCATGGATGGTTCTTGAGAAGGGCTGGTCCAGAAAGACAGTGGTCTTTTATTAGCAGGTTGGCTGGATTGAGGCAGGAAGTGACAGAGCAGGGGTCAGTCAACTGGAGGCTGCATGACCATCCCCAAGCAGGAGTGGTGTCAGCAGCAGAAATGGAGAGGATGGAGAGGCATTTTCAAGGACAGATGATGGCACTTGATAGCACTTGGTGCCAGATGGAGGAATGGGAATAGTCTAGGGTGATTTCAGGGAAACTAGTATGTGGAGCAGCCCTGGTGGAAATGGAGCAGCTGGGAAGTGACGCTCAAGTGTCTGCTTAGGGGAGCCCATGCTCTTCCTCAAACTCCTGTCCTCTTCTTGGGTGGAGTCAGGCTTGAGGCCACTGGGCACCTGAGCCAGGAACCTCAGGATCCAAGGTCAAAGCCCTGCGCTGCATCGGAGTGGGGGCGAGGGGCAGGGACGCGTGTCCCTCAGGGACCCACACCTACCGGTCATAGTCCATAACTGAGATGAGCAGGCTGACTTGGTCCATGTTCTCCGGAGGAATGTCAAAGATGATGGCCTCATTGTAGATGGGATTGAGGGTGTTCTTCTTTATGGTGGTTTTCTTCTTCTTCAGCCTCCGCCCGTCACACAGCAGGGACACTTTGACGTATGGATCTGTGCCAATGGGGGCAGTGGGGAGGGAAGGGAGTGTGTTACACAGATGTCCTCCAACACCATTGGCAACAGAGGGCAGAAGCCCTAGACTCCTGTCGCTCATCAGATGGCATCAGTGTGTGTTGAAAATAGTTAAACCACCTTGTATTTATGTAGCACTCCTGTCTCTGAGGATACTCGTGCTTAATAAACAGAGTCTTTAACGACCTCAGGATTCTTGGGAGAGTGCTTAATGGGCTTGCACTAATGGGGAAGAGGCCCCAAATCAGACCCAACACCTTTCCTTACGTGTGACATTCATGCCCTAAATCTCAGCTCCGTGATGGGCACTGGCTTCAAAGGGTGGTGAAGCTGAACAAATATCTTTCACCTATTTGGAATCCTTTTCTCTGGGGGGTTTTGTCAGCATTATTAATCAAAGGATAGAGAGGTCAAAATAGAATTTGATGAGACGCAGGGAAGAGCAATGCGTCAGAGTAAATGAACAGTGACAATCATAATGCTGTTCCGGTCCTCCCCACCTGACAAAAGGATTATGGGTCCCATTGTCCCAGCAAGCTCATTTCCATCTGGCTTCAACAAGGGGAGTAGTGGCCTTGCTTGCTGCTTCCCTGGAAGCCATTTCCTCCCCACAGTGGAGGAGGAGGGAGTCATGGCCTGGCGGAGGGATGAGGTGGCCTCCTGACATTCCAGGCAACCAGTTGACATTTCATTTCTCAGCGGGATCTTGGATTCTCTCCATCCCATGAGAAGATGCCTTTTCACTGAACATGCCTGGGGCTCCCATCTTTGTTTCTTCTTTCATTTTCTGAATTGGTATTTCATGGTCATTTTTGTACCCTGAAATTTTCTACTCCTCCACATCAAGTGACACCTATTGTATCTCCTAGCACAGGTGTCTCGGTCACCATCATAATTGTTATTTATGCTGCACAGCTCAAGAAGCAGGAGGGCAATTCACAGATAATAACAGCTTCTGAGGCTCTGATGTGCTGAGATACCTTTTTGCCCAGAAGCCAGGGCTCCTGTGAATCTATCAGGAGGGTGGGGGGTGCGAGAAGCTGCTCTCCATTTCCTTGATTCACAGGTGTATGGGTCTGTCTCCTGGGCACCCAGCACCCAGCAGGCCCTCATGGTCCCTGGGCATCATTTGGGTGGCAGCTGAGGTACACAGCTATGGGGGAGCTAGAGAGAACCATGACGCTTGATCAGAAACTCCAAGCAAGTCTTAAAGGGATTTCCACAGACACCCAAATGAGCCACTGACTAACCAATGTGACAGCAGCATCTGTGCCTTAACTATGGGGACTGGGTCTATAGAGGAATTGGGAGACCGAGAGGTGTTTAATCAACCTGCTGTCTCTGATAACCCATTTGAAAGGGCCTCTTTCAGGGGGATTTTCAGTGAAAAGGAAGGAGGCATTCTGAGAACTGCTGTGGGACAGCTTTTTGGTTCTGCGGGCTCCATTCCCTGTGGATATGCCCGGGACAAAGTTCAGGTCTAAGCAGAGGCAGAAAAGCTAGCTCTGTCATTAACATGGCAACTTCTAAACCCCTGACGGGGATGTACTGCTTTGGAAAGTGTCTTCAGGCTGAGGCTGCTCTTGTGCTGCCTTATCCCCTGCCTGCCATGCCTGTTTCCATACACTTCCAGGCCAAATTCCCATGTCAGCAGGCTTAGAAAAATATGGCAGGGCCACCTGTCCCATGGGCCACTAAGCAAATGCCTTGTGACTGACTGGGAGGTTCCCAGCCTCCTTCCTCAACCCTGTTCACCCCTGCGAGGCATATCCAGTTCATAGAAAGAACCCAGTGGGCGTGGTTCCCTTGCAGGAACCAATGATCTCACCAGCATCCAAGAGGCTAAGCAAAGAGTTTACTGTTCCCTAGGGTTCTCCGAGGCAAAACTTTGTGGCTTTTAGTAGAATGCTGGCTCCAGATGACCTTTGAGGTCCTTTCTTCTCTAACAGCCTATGTAGCTGAGGGTGGGGGCATGAAGACCAGCAGTGTGTTTCAGTCACATTGTCATGACAGCCACCATGATTCTGCATTTAGTATGTGTGGGCACTGTGCTAAGAGAGCTACATATATCATCTCATTTCAACTTCACACCAACCCTACAAAATATTTATCATCACCCCAGTTTCTAGATAGAGAAATTGAGGTTTACAGAGATGAAGAAACCTGTCTAAGCTTTGCACCCTCATCTGTCTGACTTCAAAGCTCACATTTTAACCACAAGACTCAAAGCAGTACGGATCCTGGGTGGGTCTACTCACTTACCACCCCTTCATGGTATACTGATCCTTGTAATTATTTTGTATTCTCTTTATTGTCATGGTCCCAGTAGATAGGCTTAGAGAATTGATTCACAGCCAGTTTAAGAGAGTGGGAAGAGCCTTGGTTTTAGAGGTCAACATCACACAAATCAAGAACAATGCTAAGCTCCATTCACTCCCTAGTTTAGCCAAACGTCAAAGCAGTCTGTGCTGCCAGTAACCTCAAACTCAGCCTTAAAAACAGAAGATCTAGTGTGAGAGGCCCCTGGCAATTATGCCCCCAATGCATCACCCTCTGACAAGATTCCTTATGGTAGAAATTCATTCATTCATTCATTCATTCATTCATTCTTCATTCAATACACATTTATTCAATCCTTAATGTGTCCTATGCACCGTTCCAGACATTTGATTATATCAGTGAACAAAATAGCCAGAAATTTCCGACAAAAAGAGGACCTCTGAATTTTCAGAATCAAGCTGATTTAACACCAGATTCCAAACCAAGGTAGAAAAGTGGGGCAACTGTGAGAGGGAGGTTAGAGCTTAGCATGAGAAAAATCTCTCACCCCCAGCCCTCTGATGTGGAACGGCCTTAATGATTACCTCAGTGGCTTCACTGCAAGCTCTCTCCCCAGCCCATCAATTTAATTACTCCAGAGAAGATAGTGTGGGGACTAGTGCAGCAAAATCCTATTTCCCTCAGTAGCCTGGAGAATCCTCAGTGAATTTCTGTCCCTGGCACACACTTATTTTGATATTAAAATGAAATCTACGTTGGCTGTATTTTGGGAGGAAGCTGACTTGCTTCTGCCTAAGAGCTTTGCACATGTCGGCAAAGGTTCATAAGCTCTTCCTACGCCCCCGGATGGCAGCTTTGGAGGAAGGAGAGGCACTGGGCGGAGCTCTCTGGTGGAGCTTTTGGCCTGGAGGCCAGAACTTGCAGAGAGAGTAGCAGCTGGGAGCAGAGACTCGAGGAGTTGGGAACTGCAACAAATACAGTACTTCCGCGCTTCCCTGAAACCTCATTTATCACCCTGAAACCTTATCTAGGCCTTTACCTCCTCTTCTTCCACCGGCACCAGGTTGTGCCTAGGCCCAGAGGTTTGCAACTGGACCGGCCCCTCTTTAAGGCAACTGTGATGGCACTAAGGAGTTTTCCAGGAAGAAAAATAAGTAATGGAGAAGAGGGAAAATCTTGCAGTTACTCCTGTCCAAGTTCAGAGGCACCTCGGGAGTGCCTTTACATTGGCAATCTGAGTCATCAGAAGAGCCCCTTGGGTGGGGTCCCGGGAGAACAGCCAAGCCTTCTCCTAAGCACCCTTCTCTGCCAGTGCCTGCTCTTTGCGAGACTCCGCCCCCATTTCACTGCTCTGGCTAATCTGAGCCTATTGGGCACAGAGGAGCCTAGGACTCAAGCTCCTTTGTGATGCCAAACTCAGGTACCTTTTCAGACAGTGACTTGCAGCATTATGGAAAAGGAGCAAACTTCTGACACAATGTCCAGCCTGTGGTCTCTACAGCTGCCCCCAAACAGGCATTTCTTCAGTGGCTGGAATAGGACTTATTTTTCCTGTAGTTCCCAGCAGCTTTACTGAGGCTGGGAGCCTTGCAGGAAAAACTGAGATACAGACACGCTGTGCTTTCAGTGACTTTGCTTCTTTGACTCTGCAGACAGAGGCTGCACTCTCAAATTCGGAATAACCCTCGGAAGTCCTGGGGCCTCATATAAACTAGATTTTCCTTAATTTTTTTCTCCTATGTATTTACTCCATGTATTTACTTCTTATTCTCTCCCTCCTCTAAGAGAAAGAATGGTAATAGCTTAAATGTAGTGGGTGCTTATTATGTGTCTGGCAAACTTCTAAGCATTGATAGGAATTAATTTGTTTATCCTTAAAGCAACCTGTGTAGATTATATTTTCAGATTAGGAAACCAAAATATCACACTGCGAGGAAGTGGCAGAGCGGGAATTTAAATGCAGGTCGCTTGCTTCCAGAGCTGACACTCCTATGATAAGAACACTGACAATTCCTCCCCGTTCTCTTTCCAAATCCAAATGGCTAGGCGGCTGGGAGGCAGTGTGCAGGCCACCTGGGTAGAAGAGGTACCTGAGTATCCTGTGATGTCCATCGCCTTGAGGTTCCGACACTTGATCACTGTGAGGGTGAGCCTGCCCGCTGTGGGCAGGTAGCAGAGGGAGAACATGATCTCTCCCAAGTCCACGCTTTCCTGCAAAGAAGCACATAAGAGGGCAGATGAGGTGCACACAGTCCCCACACAGCCCCCATACAGCTGCTGTGGGGCCGCTCTGGGCAGAGTGGCACGTCTGCCCAGACCTAAGGGTCTGGCCTCCATGCAGGGTGGAACTGCATATAAGAGGCAATAATAACAATATTACCTCTTCAATAAAATTTATCCCCAACAATATCCCTTCTCAGATTCTGGACCTGGTCTTCGCCCTCCAGCTATGGCCTCACCTGCCCTACCTGAGCTCCTTGGCTGCAGCCTCCGCGCTACCAGCCCTCTTGTGTCCCAGCCCTTCTCTCCTCCTGCTCATCCTTCTCTGTCTCTGATCCTCTTAATCTCACCCCCCACCCTCCCTTCCAGGTCTGTGGTCATAACAGCCTCTTGCACAAGAAACACTCAGGTCATCGGATGTGTCCTTCCCCACCCCCCACCCCACCCCTGCCCCCAGCAGGTCTACCTCTGGCCCTCAGCTCAGTCCCTCTGTCTTGCCCACTTCCTTGCCTCTTCTCAAACACACTTAGCACTCCAACTCCCAGGCCTCAGTGTGGAGGCACAAGGAATGGTGACCCTGTTCGGGACACGCTGCCCACCAAGGAGATGTACACTCATCATTGTGTCAGGTCTGGGATCTACTTTGCCCTTTTCCCATAAATGTGGTTATCTTTCAAAAATAACACCAGCACAGAACACACCCTCTGTCACCAGATGCATCATAGCCAAGGGTCCCCAGCCAAGGAAGTTTCTGAGCAACAGGGATCAGGAAATCTTTAAGGATGGTGAGCATGTCCATCGATTGCATTAAATAGCAGTTTGCCAGACTGCTTCATCTTCCTGCCCCCCACCTGATGTAGGAGGGTGCTGTCACTGTGACATGGAGATGTTTCCTCTCTTAGGGCTCGGGGTGGAGGAGGAGAGGAGGTGGTCAGGGTTTGGAGTGGCTCTGATTTCAGAAGGGGCCATCCATTCGTACATTCAGTCAGTCAGTCAACAAACATGAATTGAGTACCTGGTGTGTACTAGGTGTCACTCTGGGTGCTGAAGATACGGGAGAGAATAAAAGAGACAAAAATCTCTGCCAGCTCTCGTGGAGCTTATATTTTACTAGGGCAAAGGACAAGAAAACAGGTAAATATATTAGATAGTCAAAAGTATAAAGGAGAAAAATGTAAGGCAGGCAAAGGGGATCTGAAATGCTCGTGGGAAAGGCCATAGTTGTTGGAATTTTAGACAGGAGGACTCCGGAAAGATAAGAGTCAAGGGTGACACCAAGGTTTTGTATCTTCTCCTCACAAACAACAGTCCTGGACTGGGGACCCCGAGAGACAGACAACTGAGAGTTGGTTCCCATCTAGAGAGTAATCCACGACTCCCTGACCCCTTCCAGAACAGGGGGTCTCGTGCGCTCCTCTAGGTGGCACTGATGCCCACCCTCTCCCTGGCCCAAGAAATTTGTCTTCTTTTTTTAAATCCCCCCTTCCCCCATGTCAAATGCCAGGTGTAGCAGGTGAATCCTTCCAGCCCCCTTAGAGGGATGAGGGCAGAGTGGGACCCGGTATGGAGGCAGCACCCCCTCCAGCACACAGAAGCCTGTGGCCCCACTGAGCCAGTCAGCCACGAGCTCCTGTGCTCTGCAATTTTCTTCCTCCAGCAGCATGTCCACCTGCGAGGCTCAGAGCCACTCTGTGAGGCAGGGAATACTGTCATTGTTCCCTCCATTTCACAGACACATAACTCAGTGTCTAAACTCAGGTGTCAGCTTTGCCCAGGCTGACACTGCTAGGGGGAGACACAGCTGGACCCCACTCTCAGGAGCGTGCTCCTTGCACCTGGTCTCTGAGCACCTTCCAGCTCACCCAGGGAGCACCTCAAGGTAACCTTGGTTCCTCTAGACCTTGGGCCACAACTCCATCCATGTGTCCATTTGTCCATCTGTTCAGATTTACTGAGAACCTGCTGGAGGCACCACGCTTTGTGGGGAATACACAGTCCCCCCTCAACACACACACAGTCTAGTGGGGTGTAATCAGTTAAAGGAAGACGCCAGGATCTCCATCACCCTCAGGTTCATCTCCTGTCTCCGGAGTCCCCTAGTCCAGGGAGGGAGACATAGGAAACGGCCCTGCGGCATGGTGTTGTGGGAGCCCGAAAGTCCCCTCCTGCAGCAGGGATCAGGTCAGCAGTACACCTGGGTGAAAGCTCAGTCTCTGACAGAGGCACTGAGGCACAAAGAGGCCCCCAACTCCCTTTATTTCCCTTAGAATCCTCCAAGGCTCCATCCCGCCCAAGTTAGAGAAACCCTTCCAGACTCAGTAACAGCAATAAGAACCCACACTACATATCATATGCTGACCACATGCCACGTCTTTTGCCAAACCATCTCAGGGAGTTTTACCACAGTCCTCTGAGGTGGGAGCTTTTATTACCCCTACTGCAAACAGAAGAAAATGACTGTTTTGGGAGTTAAGTAACTTGCCCAAGGTGGCGTGACTGTGAGCGCCCCGGTGCCAGACTTTCATAGATGGATGCCATCCTTGTCCCGTTTCTTAGCTTGCATTCAGTACCCGTAGCAGCTGGGTCCTGTCTTACCTCCTCACCTGCTTATTTCTCTTTATTCCTCTATGCCAACCCTCGGCTCTATGTGGCAGTTATAGCTTTAAACCCTTTTGCCAAAATGCCTCCTCTTTATCTTTGCTTGGACAACCTTATGCATCTAGCAGGGCTCAGGGCCACGTCCCCCGCAGGGATACTCACCCAGGGTCCAGCCACTGAGACACCTCTTCCCCACATCCCTGCAGCACTTCCTGCCGCCGAGCTGCTCACAGGCACGACCAAGCCCCTGCCGCTCTTTGCTGCAGTTGTGCCCCCCAACCAGTGTCTAATGACTGGAGGCCCCTTTGGGGCAGGGACTTGGCTTCACACCTACTTTCCCCTCAGAGGCCCTGATAGGACAAGAGGAGCTACATAAATGCCCCCAGAAGTGAATGGTTACATTTCAGCTAGAAGAACACTCGAAGGAGTGGTTCTCAGCATCGGTGTTATGATAAAGTTAGGACCCTGGGAAAGACTCTGGAAGCTTCTCTGGCCCCCCTGAGGAGGAGTGAACAAAAGGCTGCTGTCACCACTTTCCCACCACTGCTACCCTCCAGACGCAGAGTGGAGCTTTCCCGGGCTGCCATGTTGGAGGGCAGCCTGATGTTTATGGACTTGGGGGACCTGCCTGGGAAGATGAGGGGTGCTCAGTGCAAACAGAACCACTTCTAGGAACTGCTCTCAAGAGTGGCTCTCTCCAGGGAGAGCGTCAACCCAACAGGGCCCCCTCTTTTCTTCAGGGGTGCCCTTTCTCGATACGACTGTGAAAGGTGAGGCACGCGGTGCTGAGTCTGCAGTGTGGAGTGGAACCCCCCACACCACCCCACCGAACAGTGAACTGTTGCTGGGCCCAGACAAGGGGAAGGAGTGGCCCAAGGTGTCACTGTGACCTGGAGGCAGAGAGGACTCAGAGGCTAGGAGTCCCAAGGCCAAGCCCCAGAACCTTCTGCTCTGGCTGTCTGGGTCTCACCAGGCCAGATGGCAAGCTGGCTGCTCTTAGCTCAATGGATCCAGGGAACTATGGCTCCCCTGCCCGCACAGGCGGCAGAGGACAGGGTTATTTGATAAGGGAAAATAAATAGGCTGATTCTGAGTAAACAGAGAGATGAGGACTGAGGAAAGACAGTCGGCATCTCCTGGTAGCCACCTGCCTCTCTGGAAAGCCTGGCCCCAGCTCGACCCCACAGCTGCCTTTGCCAGGTCCTCCCTCTGCCCTGTCCCCACTTCTCAGGAGGTCTCAGACCCAGATCTGTGTGCCTTCTTAGCCTTTTATCCTCATTAAGGATATTTGAGATTTTGGCTTCAATAAAACCAGGGGTGTGACCTGGGCTGCAGAATAGCTGGGCGCTTATTGCTTTCATCTCTACCTGCTATCAGGGGACGCTGCCTTAGGGCCCCCGACTGCTAATGAGCTCTGCGGTGCTGGAGAGGTCACTTCTGTCCAGAAAGCAGCAGAAACCCACGTGGCCCTCTGGATTCCTAACCCAGGGGTTGCTGGGGTGGCTCCGAGCCCAAGGAGCAGCTGGCTAAAAGTCTCGGCTAGTGCTCAGAAGGGGTGGGCCCACTGCCAGGGGAGGGAGAGCCAGAATGGTGGCTCCTAGAGAAGTCAGTGCTTAAAGTGCAACCTGTCCACCTGACGACGCTGCCCATAATAGCAGCTGTCTCCCCCTGGTGGCAGTGTCCAGGTATCTGGGCAGGCAGTTTCTTAAAGGCCCATCCATTGCACAGCATTGCTCTTGCTGGACCCCCAGCTGCCCACTTGCAACAGCTCCTTAAAGCACTTCTCGGGCTGGCCGGGTGGCTCAGTTGGTTAACAGCTCAAGCTCTGAGCAACACAGTTATGGGTTCTATCCCCACATGTGCCAGTGAACTGCGCCTGAGCTGAGCCACCGCTGAGCTGCTAACAGGTGGCCAGATGGCTCAGCTGGTGACAGCACGTGTTCTTAACAACAAGGTTACTGGTTCAACTCCCACATGGGATGGTGGACTATGTCCCCCGGTAACTAGATTGAAAGTGGCGACTGGGCTTGGAGCTGAGCTTGCACCCTCCACAGTTAAGATTGAAGGACAACAACTTGACTTGGAGCTGATATTTCCTGAAAAAACACAATGTTCCCCTTCCCCAATTCCCCAACACTGTTCCCCTCCCCAATTCCCCAATAAAATCTTCAAAAACAAACAAACAAAAAAGGCAGTTCTCTTTCCATGATGTACTTGGCCCTGGGCATAGAAAACAAATCCCTGTTGCTGAGCTGCCCTGGGAAGAGTGGTGAACCACAGAGGCTCTTGTCCCTCTGCCACTAAACTAGCTTCGAGACCTTGGGCACGTCATTTCCCATCTCTGGGCTCCAGTCTATAAAATGGAGTTGTACTAGATGTTCTATCCTTAAGGT